CCCATATACCTTAACCATTGTTTCAATTTTCTACTCTTCTATCGTAGAATATTCTGAGTAGCAAACTGGAACTAATTTCCACTTCTATAATTAAATATTGCAGCTGCAAGTAGCAAACTAGAAACTAATTTCTACTCTTAATGATGACTGTTTTCATCCAAAATTTCAGCTTGCTTGTTTTTGTTTTTGTTTTTTAATCTTAAATAGCCAATTAAATGTGGCAGTAGGTGAAGTGGAACTCGTAAAATGCAAGACGGGTCCTGTTTTCAATGTTAGTGCCATCTGCTTCAACCCAAAGCCTATGTTAGATGCCATGTTAATAAGTGCACGTGCATGACTGGACTTCTACCTCTTAAACCTTGCTGTTTTGCTTGGCTTTTACAGTGATAGCATTTTATTTGCTCGATGGTGTTTCTTTGAAGTAAGTATGTGGTATTTTTAGGGGTGCTTGGATTGGGAGAGAGAAAGAGAGGAGAAACAGACTTTCTTAGATTAAATGGGTAGGAATTTGGGTTAAGTTAATGATATGAATCAGCATGCTTTTGATTGGTATTTTCTGTTAGTGGGTTCTTTCTGCGCATATTTTGGTATTTTCTGTTAGTGAGTTGCTTGTATTGAATTTGCATTCCTCAAGTGGAAATTGGAACGCATGTGCATGACTAGTAATGAACCTAGACCTTGAGTTGACAATATAACATGCCTTGTCGTTTTTCTTGCCTTGAAACTTCATGAGTGAATATGACAGACTATGCTTACTGGGATTTTACCTTGCCCCTTTATTTTTTCCCCTCCTTTCAGATATTTAGCTTGTGGCTTGTCACAGCTTAGCAAGCTTTGGGTATAAGTCCTTGATGCTGTTGGTGTGTAGGAGTTAGAATCCTCAGTCTACTTGAAAGTCAAGCAAATCAGTGTATTATGAAAACAGGAGGTTGCAGGTTATGACTCTTCTTTGTATCTTTTTGAAAAGTACACACATATGCCCTCTTGGAAATCTTTTTTTACTGCACATTGATGAATATAAAATGCAAGGAGCTTGGCCTTGGCTTTTCCCAATCTTGTTTTGAACAACTTAGCATACCTTTTGTTAACAAAATTTGAAAAAATGGTTTCAGTACTCGAATTGCTTTATATATACCTTGTTATAAATTTCTAGTTTTTATTACTCCTGCTTCATATGTTTTCATTAGTATGATTCTAGTTTCCTTAAAGGATTAAAGGAAACTAAAACCAGGGGCATTACTGTTCAGAACATTTAATTTGTTGTAATGGCTTCAGTTTTGTTTTATTAAAAAGAGATAAAAGAGCGTTTGTAATATATTTTGTTGGTACATCTTTAAGATGAGCTATACAAAAAGGGATAACTCTTTCCTTTACCTAAATCCTTCCTCAAGAAATATCAGAAGAGCACATGAAATTGTTAGGGAAGAAAGAGTATATCTATGAACTACAATATGATTCCTAATTAGTCATGCATCTAGAAAACAGAGAACTGTCATCAGTCATTTTAGGGAAGACTTGCAAACATGCTGTGTTTTCAAGGGTAGTTGAGGTAAACATGCTGTGTTTTCAAGGGTAGTTAGGACTGGGTAAAGCTCCCAATTTGTCAGCTAGAAAACAGAGGATTGCTGTTGGTCATTGCAGGGAAAGCTTGCACATAGATGTGACAAATGGGTTGGGTTAGGTTGCGTGTTAAATGAATTGGATCAAATGGGTTTACAAGCATACAAGAAGGTAGCTATTGACCTACACATTCACGTGTTATGAGGTTTTGGCCCTACACATGTGAGTTGCAAGTCAAATGGATTGAGTTAAATAAATTCATCAAATGGATTGAGTTAAATAAATTCATAGGTGGAGTCTGCTTGTGCACATTAACTAGTCAAAACTCTAGACTTGCGCATTTTTGGATATATTTACCCTTGGAATTTGTAAACCTGGTACCATTATTTGGAAAACTAGCAAACTAATGGACATTCCATCTTTTATTAATAGCATGAACCTCTTACTTCTTTTCTTCTCTAGATTCTCATATGGAACTGATATCATCACCTCATTCTAAAATCTTAGTGATGGCAGAACCATAGTTTCTAGTAATGGAAGCTTTGAACTGGGGTTCTTCTGTTCTGGAAGCTCTGGTAGGAGTTGTTACTTGGGAATTTGGTTCAGGAAAGTCTCAGTTCATGCTGTTGTTTGGGTTGCAAACAAGTGCAGCCCAATAGACGACTTGTCAGGTGTTTTGGTGATAAATAGCACAGGCAATTTGGTGCTCCTCAGTCAAAGCAGGAGTGTTGTTTGGGCATCAAATTCAAAGATAGAAGCTCAAAACCCAGTAGTGCGGCTCCAGGATTCTGGAAATCTTGTTCTGAAAGATAGAATTGATGGTAAATCAGAAATACTTTTTTGGCAAAGCTTTGACTATCCTACTGATACTTTGCTGGCGGGAATGAAACTTGGATGGGACTTAAGGGTTGGTCTTAATAGGCAACTATCAGCATGGAAGTCCCAAGATGATCCATGCCCTGGAGACTTAACTTATGGGATGGCGCCATATAATTTTCCTGATACTGTTATGTGGAAAGGCTCAAAGAAGTACTTCATGTTAGGACCCTGGAATGGCAATGGATTCAGTGGTCAAATGCAGTTCAATAGCAATCAGTATTTAATGTTCAACATGACCTCAAATGAAGAGGAGACTTACTTCATGTTTTACATCAGTAACATATCATTAATCACAAGGCTTACTTTGACCATACTTCCAGTAGGGTAGAGGGCTCCATATGGAAAGAAGATGCTGGGACTTGGATATTGTTCAGTCATTATCCAAGGAATGATTGTGACAACTATGGAACTTGTGGCACATATGGAACTTGTGTCAATTAAGTGTCGCCACCTTGTCAATGTTTGAAAGTTTCAAGTTTAAATCACATGAAGGGAACTCAATGGACTGGTAGCAGGGGTGCATGTGCAATAACTCATTAGACTGCCAGAAAGGAGATAGGTTTATCCAATTTGGTGGGTTGAAACTCCCAGACACTGAAACGCTCTTGGGTTAATGAAAGCATGGATCTCAATCAGTGTAGGGCTAAATGCTTAGAGAATTGTTCTTGTATGACCTATACAACCTTAGATATTAAAGAAGCCAGCAAGTGTGCAATCTGGTATTGTGATCCACTTGATCTTAAACAGGTCCAGTTTTCTGGACAAGATTTATATATTCGAGTGTCTGCTGCTGATTCTGGTATTGGGTTACTCTTAGTTCAACCTAGCATTTCATTAAGTTATGTTATGATTCCTAATTTCATATTTATGTTTGGTGTTACCAATTTTAATTTCAGTCAATATGTGGAACTAGTTCATTGCTAGGACTCTAACTCATATATTTCTTTGTTTTATGGAATTAGACCATGAAGAGACAAAAGGCAAGAATAAAATGAAGGCAGCACTAATAATTGCAATTGCCATTCTTGTAGTTATTAGTGTTGTTGTAATCACCTATTACATTAGCAGGAGCCGTCAAAACATAAAAGGTAAGTTTCTTTGCCTTCACAAATCCTGTAGCCTTTGAATATTGGTTGCAACTTCCCTTGGTTCATTTCTCATTGTTTGGTTTTGATTAAATTCTTCACCCCTTTAGGAAGAGAAAATGGCTGGAGCAATGAAAAGCAAAATAAAATACAGAACTCCCCTTATTTGATTTAGCTGTAATATCCAAGGTTACCAATGACTTCTCTTCCCACAATAAGCTAGGAGAAGATGGCTTTGGGCCTGTATACAAGGTAAATGTTCAGAGCTCTTGTAAAAGTTAGTATTTGTTTAAGATCAAATGAACTTTACAAGTACATTTTTCCAAGGTACTTTGTCAGATGGAAAAGAAATTGCTGTGAAGAGGTCCTCAAAAAGCTCTAGACAAGGATTAGTTGAGTTCAAGAATAACGTAGCACTTATAGCCAAACTTCAACATTGGAATCTTGTAAAGCTTCTAGGATGCTGCATTCAAGGGGAGGAGAAAATGCTGATTTATGAATATATATATATATATATATATTTTGAACATCTGATTTATGAATATATGCCCAGTAAAAGTTTGGACTTCTTCATTTTTGGTTCAGATTCCTTTGAAACACAGTCCATTAAATTTGTAGTAGTATAAATTTAATACAATTTGTTTCCATATTTCAATGCAACTATCTGTTTCAAAAACTCTAGTTGAAGACTACATTAATACGAAGATCATGTTTCATGATAGATGATACAAGGAGCAAATTATTAAGACTGGTCAAGACGTTTTCACATTATTTGGGGAATTGCTAAAGGGCTTGTCTATCTGCATGAAGATTCTCACTTGAGGATTATGCATAGAGATCTCAAAGCAAGCAATGTTTAGCTTGATAGTGAAATGACCCCCAAAATTTCTGACTTCGGCATGGCTAGAACATTTGGAGAACAGTCCGAGGGAAGCACAAAGAGAGTGGTTGGAACCTAGTAAGTTAAACTATCTTTATACTCCCCATTTTACTAAAATATCCCTGCTGATATAATTTATCTGAATTGTTTTTTTTTTTTTTTTTTTTTTGCAGTGGTTATATGGCACTAAAATATGCCATTTATGGGCAATTCTCAGTAAAATCTGATGTTTTCAGCTTTGGTGTGCTGTTGTGGGAGATGATAAGTGGGAAGAAGAATAGAGGGTTTAACCATCTCAAGCCTCGCCTTAATATTGTTGGACATGTAAGTATCAAGCTTCAAACCATACTTTCTTTCCTTCCTTGACCTGAAAATTGACTTGAAAAATTACTTGAAAAATGACTGACAGTTTATAATTTGTATATAGGCATGGATATTGTGGAAAGAAGGAAATCCTTTAGAACTGATTGATTTGTTTGTACAAGAGTCTTGCACTCTGTCTTAAGTATTAAGATGCACCCACATTATTCTCTTATGTGTTCAACAACACCCTGAGGACAAGCCAAGGATGTCATATGTGATTTTGATGTTGAGTAGTGAGATAGCCCTAGAACAGCCCGAAGAACCGGGTTTCTTTATTGACAAGAAATCACTTGAAATAAATTCTTCATCCGGTAAACCTGAATCATCTTTAACCAATTAACCTCAGTGTTGGAGCCACGATAATGGTTTCTCGAAAACTACTTGCCTTGTGCTATGCAAGTTGCTGAATGTTGTTTAGGAATGCATGCCATATACCTTAACTATTATTTCAATCTTCTACTCTTCCATAGTTGAA